ATATTAACAATGAAAAATCAGAAAGAGAAATTAGGGAATCAATCCCATTCACCATTGCAACAAAAAGAATTAAATATCTAGGAATAAACTTACCTAAGGAGACAAAAGAACTGTACACAGAAAATTATAAGGCACTGATGAAAGAAATCAAAGATGACATAAACAGATGGAGAGATATTCCATGTTCCTGGGTAGGAAGAACCAATATTGGGAAAATGACTATGCTACCAAACACAATCTACAGATTCAATGCAATCCCTTTCAAATTACCAATGGCATTTTTCACAGAACTAGAACAAAAAATTTCACAATTCATATGGAAACACAAAAGACCCTAAATAGCCAAAACACTCTTGAGAAAGAAGGATGGAACTGGAGGAATCAACCTTCCTGACTTCAGATTATACTACAAAACTACAGTCATCAAGACAGTATGGTACTGGCACAAAAACAAAAATATAGGCCAATGGACAAGATAGAAGCCCAGAAATAAACCCATGCACCTACAGGTACCTTATTTTTGACAAAGGAGGCAAGAATATACAATGGGGTTAAAGACAGCCTCTTCAATAAATGGTGCCGGGGAAACTGAATAGCTACATGTAAAAGAAATGAAATTAGAACACTTCCTAACACCATACACAAAGATAAACTAAAATGGATTAAAGACCTAAATGTAAGACCAGGAACTATAAAACTCTTAGAGGAAAACATAGGCAGAACAGTCCATGACATAAATCAAAGCAAGATCTTCTATGACCCACCACCTAGAGTAATGGAAATAAAAGCAAAAGTAAACAAGTGGGACCTGATTAAACTTAAAAGCTTTTGCACAGCAAAGGAAACTATAAGCAAGGTGAAAAGACAACCCTCAGAATGGGAGAAAATAATAGCAAATGAAACAACTGACAAAGGATTAATTTCCAAAATAAACAAGCAGTTCATACAACTCAATACCAGGAAAACCAACAACCCAATCAAAAGTGGGAGAAAGACCTAAACAGACATGTCTCCAAAGAAGACATACAGATGGCTAACAAACACATGAAAAGATGCTCAACATCACTCATTATTAGAGAAATGCAAATCAAAACTACAGTGAGATATCACTTCACACCAGTCAGAATAACCATCATCAAAAAGTCTACAGACAATAAATGCTGGAGAGGGTGTGGAGAAAAGGGAACACTCTTGCATTGTTGGTAGGAATGTAAATTGATACAGCTACTATGGAAGACGGTATGGAGATTCCATAAAAAACTAGGGATAAAACCACCATACAACCCATCAATCCCACTCCTAGGCATATACCCTGAGGACACCAGGGTTGAAAAAGACACATGTATCCCATTGTTGATTGCAGCATTATTTGCAATAGCTAGAACATGGAAGCAACCTAGATGCCCATCGACAGATGAATGGATAAAGAAGTTGTGGTACATATACACAATGGAATATTACTCAGCCATTAAAATGACCACATTTGAGTCAGTTATGATGAGGTGGATGAACTTAGAACCTATTATACAGAGTTAAGTGAGTCAGAAAGAGAAAGTTAAATATCGTATTCTAATGCACATATATGGAATCTAGAAAAATGATACTGAAGAATTTATTTATAGGGCAACAGTGAAGAAACAGACATGGAGAATAGAATTATGGGCATGGGGATAGGGGAGGAGAGGGTAAGATGTATGGAAAGAGTAACATGGAAACTTACATTATCATATGTAAAATAGATAGCCAATGGGAATTTGCTGTATGTCTCAGGAGACTCAAGCAGGGGCTCTGTATCAACCTAGAGGGGTGGGGTGGGGAGGGAGATGGGAGGGAGATTCAAAAGGGAGGGGATATATGTATGACTATGGGCAATTCATGTTGAGGTTTGACAGAAAACAACAAATGTTTGTAAAGCAATTATCCTTCAATAAAATAATAAATTAAATTTTAAAAAAATGTCTTCTCCAACACCACAGCTCAAAAGCATCAATTCTTCTGCACTCAACTTTCTTTATGGTCCAACTCTCACATCCGTGCATGACTACTGGAAAAAGCATAGCTTTGACTAGACAGACATTTGTTGGCAAAGTAATGCCTCTGCTTTTTAATATGTTGTCTAGGTTGATCATAACTTTTCTTCCAAGGAGCAAGTGTCTTTTAATTTCATTTCTGCAGTCACCATCTGCAGTGATTTTTGAGCCCCCCCCCAAATAAATAAATAAAATTGGTCACTGTTTCCATTGTTTCTCCATCTATTTGCCATGAAGTGATCAGACCAGATGCCATGATCTTAGTTGTTGAATGTTGAGTTTTAAGCCAGCTCTTTGACTCTCCTCTCTCACTTTCAAGAGGTTCTTTAGTTCCTCTTCACTTTCTGCCATAAGGGTGGTATCATTTGTGTATCTGAGATTATTGGTATTTCTCCCAGCAATCTGGATTCCAGCTTGTGCTTCATCCAGCATGGCATTTCTTATGATGGACTCTGCACATAAGTTAAATAAACAGTATGACAATATACAGCCTTGACACACTTCTTTCCCAATTTGGATCCAGCCTGTTGTTCCATGTCCAGTTCTACCTATTGCTTCTTGACCTGCATACAGATTTCTCAGGAGACAGGTCAGGTGGTCTGGTATTTCCATCACTTGAAGAATTTTCCACCGTTTGTTGTGATCTACACAGTCAAAGGCTTTGGCATCAATAAAGCAGAAGTAGATGCTTCTCTGGAACTCTCTTGCTTTTTTGATGATCCAGCGGATGTTGGCAATTTGATCTCTGCTTCCTCTGCCTTTTCTAAATCCAGCTTGAACATCTGGAAGTTCACGGTTCACGTACTGTTGAAGCATGGCTTGGAGAACTTTGAGAATTACTTTGCCAGCGTGTGAGATGAGTGCAATCTTGCAGTAGTTTGAACATCCTTGGGCATTGCCCTTCTTTGGGATTAAAATGAAAACTGACATTTTCTAGTCCTGCGACCACTGCTGAGTTTTCCAGATTTGCTGGCATATTGAGTGCAGCACTTTCACAGCATCACCTTTTAAGATTCAAAATAGCTCAACTGGAATACCATCACTTCCACTAACTTTGTTTGTAGTGATGCTTCCTAAAGCCCATTTGACTTCGCATTCCAGGATGTCTGGCTCTCGGTGAGTAATCACACCATCATGGTTATCTAGGTCATGAAGAACTTGCTTCTATAGTTCTTCTGTGTATTCTTGCCACCTCTTCTTAATATCTTCTGCTTCTGTTAGGTCCATACCATTTCTGTCCTTTATTGTGCCCATCTTTGCATGAAATGTTCCCTTGGTATATCTAATTTTCTTGAAGAGATCTCTAGTCTTTCCCATTCTGTTTTTCTAATGGGAAAACAATAAAATAGGAAGTGATTAAATAAATAACTGCAAAAATTTCCCCTTGATAAAAGTAACAAAACACTGGCATAAAATGGTCAACATAAACTTTTTTAAGAGCTCTGAAGATTAACCACAGACTTGAAAAAATCCAAAGAGCATATATTCAAGAAAAAGTGATAAATCGCTAAATACCTTTGTGGCATTTTAACTTGCCTATTACCTTCCAACTCATCCCAGCTCTACAGTAGCCTTGCAAACCAGACATCTCCCAACCGTAATAGTTGATAACATATAAAGAATATCTACAACTAGACAAAAAGAAACACAAAGCACGATTATAAAATGGACTGAGGAGTTGGATAAACATTTCTCCAAAGGCAATATAAAAATGCTCAGCAAGCACGTGGAAATATGTTTAACCTCAATAGCCATCTTGGGCATGCAAATCAATAGCATGATGAGTTATCACTTCTCACCCACTAAACAGCCTATAACCAAAACAACAAATATTAACAAATATTGGAGAGGATATGAAGAGATTAGAACTTCCACACAGTACTGATGAGTAAATTTGTGCAAACACTTTGAAAAACAGTTGAACATTTCATAAAAAGGTTAAACATGTAGTAATCATTTGATTCTGCAATTCTATTCTCAGATATATATGCAAGAAAAAATAAAACCATGTGACAACACAGCTACTTTAAGTACAGAAAAATTAATGTTGTGACTAAAGTTGGTGGGGGAAAAGATAAAGTATTTAAATGCTTAAAGAGTCCTATAGATTATTTACAAAAAAATAATATAACTTTCAAATATTTGAGGAGAAGGCTGTCACAGGAGAAGGTGTAAGTCACCTAAATTCTCTCTCTTTTTTTTTAAATGGAGACAAAAGATACACTCTGTGGTTGCAAAACAAGGAGAAATTCTTGTTTATAGTAACCAGAACACACAAAAATAAGGAAATTGGGGTAGGAAATTATATTCATTGCAAGTTATTTTTCAATATTCATTATTTTACTGTGCCAAAAACTTTAAAATAAGTGGAAACTAATTGGGCCTTTCTAGAAAGAAACAGAGCTTCATAAATATTCAAGTCACACTTGAAAAAAAAGGTAATAAAAATCAGTGACAAAAGTGAGACATAATATCCAGGCTTTGGTAAATGAGTAATTTGGGGAGGCTAATGAGATGCCTGGATATAAGGTAGGATTTTGGATATATGAACATATTGATGAATTTGCGTACCAGGTTAGTAATTGGAATATATTTTGAAAAATAATCAGAAGTTTAACTGACAGTAGTGCTCATTTGTTTTACATTTAAAGTGGAAAATATTTATCTCAAGCCCACTCCATGTGTGATCCTTTGTGTCGGTGTTTAATTGATCACCATTGGTTATAAGAATGTCATGTTACAACTATCTTCTACATCCAGATTCTTCCCTAAAGACTGATTAATATCAAATGTTTTCAATTCTGCCCACAACTCTAGTCAGTGGAGCAGAGATAGGAACACAAAATTAAAACAATTTCCGGAAAAAGAGAGCCTTTCTTCCACTAGAAAACTATAAATAGTAAATGTCTCTTGGCTTTCTAGAAAGTGTTCTAGTTGTTAATAAATCTTTCAATAGCTTCTTTCTACAGAATGAAGATCTTTTATTATCTTTTTCATTTTCTGTGTTATGCGACCTTCGTTCTACCAGGTAATAGATGCTTCTGGTGTGTTTGTATGTATCATATGTTTGTTGTTATTGCTCCAGGCTGAAAATAGAAATATTCAATTATAAATTAGAAAGTGTAGATTCCTAATACAATCTTTTCAATTAAAAAATCTCTTGCAAAAATCTCTTGATGATATTGAAACTCAGTTTCCTATTTTAGAATAGTGCTATACCAATATAATTTATTTCAATTTGAAAATCAAAATGCAAATAAAATAAGCCAACTAAGGTGAGATTCTTTTTCTTCTTGGAGTGTTGATTTGTTTTGATATTCAAGTTTTTAAGAATGTAATAACTTATTAAACTTATTTAATCTTCTATCAGTGAAGACTTCATAATAAATTGAACCCCAGGGAAGATGAATAGACTAAGAATAGGTACATATCTCTTGGGATACCAATAACAAACTCTATAAAATGATCCAGGATATAGTCTCAAAATATGCTGGGCAATGAGGTGTAGTGAGAATAAAAAGGCAGATAAATAGAACCTCAAAAATCTTAGTTGAAATAGTTAATGCATTAGTAAAGGAATACAACAGTGGTTTTATGAATCAGTTAAAAGTAAATCATTAAAATATGTAGCTCCAGTGATGATTACATGCTCATCAGATTAATATCTGTTTCCACTGAGGTAATCCAGACTCTAACAAGGAAGATACAAATATATGCCTCAAAGTGTGTTAATTTGGCACTAGAGAGCTGGAATTTCAAAAGGTGCAGCATGTATTTAGAAATAGAACTGAATTCAAACTTAGAAAATCTAGATTTTGGATTTTCTACTCAATAGCTTGTGCACATTGCCACTTAGAGAATTTAAGTGATTTTTCAATGTCCTTAACAAAAAACAAAGGAAATACAGCAGAATCAATAGCAATTGTAGAAAAGGTAAAATATCTGATATAAAAGTTTGTTCTTGTTATGACATGCCAGCTGAAATGGACAGAATGCTCTATGTTTGGCCTTTTATCAATCAATCAATCAATAAAAACAAATAAAAAAACCAGGAAAGACAATTCAAGATATCAAAGTGAGTGGCTTTGAAAGAGTTCATCAAGTAGTACATATCACTTGCACAATGGTGTGGTTTGACTATTGATAAAACCTTAAAGTAAAAAAAGAAGCAATAAAAAGTGTCTAAGTGAATACTTTGTGAAGATGTCAGATGAGTGTTTGCTCCAGAGTGATACCATGCTGGAGAGACTAGTTGTAAAATGATGAAATCAATACTGATGTTGATTAAAACATGAAGGAATGGCCAGTACTTTAGGGGAAGTGCAAACATCAAATAATCTATAGGGATAGTGAACATAGCATACTATAATAGTTTATATAGTGAGCTTGCCATTAAATGGGCCAGGTTTTTCAAGGACCTGGAGCTCCTTTGTAGCTGTGGTAAAAACTTTAGTTCTGTTAACTATAAAATGGACGGTAATTTAACTTCATAAGGTTTTGAAAAGATTAAAAGAAATAATGTAAGCAAAGTATTTATCACATTGAAGACTGCATTACAAGAAATGAAAGAAGAGAAGTAGAAGCAGAAAGAAAAAAGACTAGATGAAGCAGCAGAGGGTAAGGAGTACAAGGATGTATTCAAGTTTAGCCAGCTCTTTCATTAACAATAAAAATTATATCAATAATATAATTAGCAAAGTATATAAGCAGTAAAATAAAGGAAAAGAAAGAAAAATTGTACAAAGCAAATAACCAAAGGCATATAAATTAAAGTTGCAGTGGATGCCATTTTTGGAGGGTGTAAAATTTGCATATACTGTTGGTGGCAATATATAAACTAAAAACTTTAGAATCAAACTCTTTCACCATTATCCTAAAATATATTATGTAAATATTAAGATATGCAATATGAATTTGTTTATAATAACGACATTGTTGTATGGCAGAAGTCAGCACAATATTGTAAGACAACTATCTTCCAATTAAAAATAAATTTAAAAAATAACCTCATAAAGTTCTAAATATTATGTAGCTGAGAAATTGATAAATTATCTTATATATAATTTCAAGGGAATATTATGTAGCTCTAAAACTTTTGAATCTTGTTGAGCAGAGCAATATATGTCATACAATCTAATCATGTATTAATTCAGAATGTTTCAATTTTACATGTATAACAGGGATATATAATATTTTAGTGTCTTCTTATTTTTTGGCATTTTGCAAATTTGTTACAGTCTACACATAGGACTTTTTATAATCACAAATAGTACATCCTTAAATTAAAAAATCAGTAACTTCAATTACTCTTCTTTTACTCTAGCCTTGGTGGATCCTGAACGATGCTCAAAATTGTACGGTCAATGTAAGAGACGCTGTCCTAAATATGAAAAGCAAATTGAACTGTGTTTGTCACCAAGTAAGGTTTGCTGCATTGAGAGGTCATTCGAGGATAATTGATCTTGAAAAGGAAGATTTACCTCTGACCAAAGAAATCTTGTGTGCCCCCAGTGCAGAAAGGTGTCAGAATGCAATTAGAAGCTCTGTAATAAATACATAAACCAATATTGTTATCTTCCTTTGTAGAAGTTAATTATGTGTTCAGTGGAATGAGGTAGGATCTATCTTATTTCCTCTAAAGGTTTGATAAAGGCATGCTGTGCTGTGCTGTGCCTAGTCACTCAGTCATGTCTGACTCTTTGCAGCTCTATGGACTTTAGCTTGCCAGGCCCCCTGTCCATGGGCATTCTCTAGGCAAGAATACTTGAGTGGGTTGCCATGCCCTCCTTCAGGGGATCTTCCCAACCCAGGGATTGAACCCAGGTCTCCCACATTGCAGGCAGATTCTTTACCATGTGAGCCACCGGGGAAGCCCAAGAATACTGGAGTGGGTAGCCTATTGCTTTTCCAGGGGATCTTCCCAATTCAGAGATTGAACCCAGGTCTCCAGCATCGCAGGTGGATTCTTGACCATCTGAGCCAAGAGGAAAGCCCTGACAGAGGCATATCTTTTGCTAATTTCTTACCGTGGTTACTATATTTGCATCAACGTTGGACCACATTTTTTGTGTCTGGTAGTTCACCTAAACCTATACCACTGAGCATTTTCCAATGTAACCATGATCTCAATAGAAACTTGGTTCATGAAAATTAATACTGATAAGTTTGTCAATTGTCTAAATATCCTCATCACATTATTTACATTAACAGACAGGAAACCTAAGTAGGAGATGAATGCATGAGCTATAGTAAAGCGTGGAGATGTTTATTGGCCCTTTCGCTCTTCTACCAAGGTCCTTCTCTTTCAAAAAGGCATTTTATTCTATATTATCTAATTCTTATACACTTGACCCTTGAACAACTAAAATTTGAACTGCAAGGTCCACTTACATGTCAACTTTTTTCAATAGTAAATACTACAGTACTACACCATCCTGCTTGGTTGGATTTGGGCAGGCAGAGCCACCAATAACAAGGAACCAAGATACAGAAGAACAGTGGACACAAAGGAAAGATTATAATTATATATAGATTTTTGGCTGTGTGGAGGGTGAGAACACCTAGCCCCCATGGACAGTGGGGCCTGGCAAGCTATAGTCCATGGGATTGCAAAGAATCAGGCACAACTGAGTGACCAAGCATAGCACAGCATAAGTACTAAACACAAATAGTCTTTTAATGTTAAAAGCTGGGGGAGAAACATGAAGACTAGAATTTGTTTTTCAGCTAAAATCAAGGGATAAATCTACCCTTTATCAATATTCTATAACATCCCCAAACATATTTTTAATCATCATATTCTTTAGAACTAATTTAACTACAGGCCCAAGAATATTGCCTTTTTTTTAATTGAAAATCTGGTGAACCTAGGGGATGTCTACCTTAAAGAATTTGTACCAAGATGGACTTCATATAGCCACCAGGGGTTTAAGTGTTGTGTACCTCAGAGAAAAATGTTGAATTCAGGTAGAATGTATCCATTGGAGGCAAGAAGTTTAGCCAGAATCTGTACTTCTATAGACTCAAGAACCAGATATCAGTATCCAATTCAAGGATTTGAGAACAGAAGAGAGACATATATAAAGAAATTCAAGGATAAGGAACAAGTTGACAACATTGAATGCAATAAGAAATAAGACAAAGTAACTCAAGATTTTACTTTAAAACTTTGAGGAGAGGGATTCTGGAAGATGGTACCTGCAATAGTTTTTTGAATAGAGCAAATAATAGTAAAACCAAAATGCATGAAAAAATTATGACAAACTAGGTGACAAGATATCCCCACATACTTTATTATAAAAATGGGTGGAGAGGGAAAAAAAAAAAACAAAAACACCAGTAGCTTAAAGTCTATTGTGAAATCTGTGTTTGAATGGGAGAAATCAGATGGAAGAAATGCAGTCTTTCTATGGATGTGCAGAAAAGTGGAGTCCCATTCAATGAATGCTGTTGGAGGAAGGGCATACATATTTGTTAATATCAGCTATAACTAGGAGGGATTTTTCACTTTAACAGTAAGTGAAGTGATTAGCAATACATGAAGGGGTTGAGAAAATCTACTCCTATGAAATACTGAAATTGAGCAGACAGGGATCATTTCCAAGAAACAACTCTATATTAAGAAAAACACTACTGGGAGTGGAAATGAAACTTGGCCACGACTGGGGAAATTGAGGAAAGGGAAAATGAGTTTTAGCTCATGCAGTCAGTGGCATATCTGTATCCAGAATTCCCATTTCTCAATAGCCCGATTTGGTGTTTTAATTAGGAACAAAGATCCATGTACATTATCCCCAATTCTAGAGCTCCAACCAAGGTATTGGCAGCACTGTGTATTGTACTTGCTTAATGTATTTCACTGTACTCTGACTCCTAGAGATACCACTCTCTTGGAGCCTCAGCTGGATTTCAAGTAAATTATGAAGTCTTAGAAAGGGTTTATATCTATTACTTTGTCTGTCCTCAAACTTATAACAGGCTTGTAACCATAGTAGATATTAATCAATAAATGTTGGAAAGTAATAAGAACATTTATCCTAGACATTTCAATTTTCCATCTGTTCTTTTTGCCATTTCAAAAATATTTTTTAGATGCCCATTTTTATTAAAATATAGTGGATGTACAATATTATGTTAGTTTCAGGTGGACTATATAAAGACTTAACATTTGCATCTGTTATGAAGTTATCACCATAATGTCTAGTAACTTTATGTCTCCATACAAAGTTATTACAATAGTATTGACTATATTCCCTGTGCTATGCATTACATGCCTGTGACTTATTTATTGCATAACTAACTCGAAGTTTGTACCTGTTTATCCTTTCTGGTAACCACCCATTTGTTCTCTGTATCTGTAAATCTGTTTTCATTTTGTTTTATTTAATTGTTTTGCTTTTGAGATTCTGCATATAGGTGACATCATGAAGTACTGGCACAGTGTCAATAGGAGGAACATAAATTTTTGAAATTCCTGGATCAAAGTACATTTTTAATGTTTATACACAGGATGTCATGCCTGTTTTTCCACAAAAAGCCCCCAGGTCTTGATTGCTCTTTAAAGAACATAAAAATGAACAGATGATTATGAAACATACCACAAATGCAATTATTTATATTTTTCTTATTCCAAGTGAGTGAAATATTTTAGGTCAGTTTACTGGCTATTTTCATTTCTCCTCCTATGATGTGCTTTTTTTCATAAACAGCTCTTAATTTTCTTTAGAATGATTACTGTAGTTTTAAAATAATTTTGCACTCATTTTTTATATACAATAACCCTTTGGCTATTACATGTTGTAAGTATTTTATCTAAGCTTTTCTGGATTTTCATTCATAAAGAAGTTATAAATGTGTATATCATTAAATTATATTTTCTTTTGTATAACTATTAAGGCCTTTCTTCTTGATTAGAAAGTCCTCCCTGTGACAAGATTATAAATATGTCCATATTTATTTTTTATGTATTCTATATGCATGCATGTACAAATATACATACAGATACACATGTATTTCATTTTAAAGAATATAATTATACATATATATAATTTTATTAATATTCAGCATGTTAGCAGACATGGGTTTTTGCACATTTTTTCTGATAGTTTGCTGGTCCCAACATCATTTGTGCCACATTTGTGCTATATTTTCCACACAGATTTGACATGCTATATTCATGAGAAACTAAATTTATGAATATACATGTGGGTCTGCTGATCCATTGACCAATTTTGTAAAAATACCATCTTATTTTTAATACTGTAACTTTGTAGTATGCTGATACCTAGTAAGGTACATCTTTCTTTGTGCTGTTTTTTAGGTTACTTTGCCTTCAGATCTTGCCCTTGATCCTATCTGCTTAACCATCAGAAATCAATGTTACAGCTCTGATATCACAGAAAGTCTCACTTTCTTGGGTTCTTATAGAAGTTTCTTCTTTTGAAGAACAAAGAGACTTTGCTATTGTACTTTTATTCAGTACATGTGATAGACTGGTAATTAAATTATTAGATGGGTGCTGTGCTTTGTCTTATGAATACCAGTTGAAGTGATGTGCAATATGCTTACTTAAAATATTTAACAAGTTCAACCAAGGTATTCTAGAAATAGCAAAATTATTTTTTAAAAGCCATACTAACAAGATTAGGTATCTTAATGATTTCATAATAATATCACATAATTTTCTAGTATTTTACATTTACAAACATTTTTATCTTTGCTTTGTCATAATCAATGAAAGAAATCAGAGCAAAATCATATTTTCACTGATGAGGTTTAAATAATTTAATCACACCTTTCATTACACAGTGTAGAAGGCAGTCAAGGGATGTGATTCTGGTATCTAACATCTTGGGTTCAATTGCAATCACTACAATTTATTAACTGTACCAAGCTGGGCAAATTATTTCATCTCCTTATGTCTCAGTTTCCACATTTATAAGCAGGAAATAATATTTTTACTTACCCTTGTAGGAGGTTGTAAGGATAAAGTGAGTTCACATATATAAATAGTTCAAAACAGTGCCAAATGTTAGCTTTATTGCTCAATCAAAACGTAGTCAAAGCTATATAGTCATTCTATTAGTCTTGTACAGATGTGAGAGTTGGACCATAAAGAAGGTTGAGTGCCAAAGAATTGCTTTCGAATTGTGGCACTGGAGAAGACTCTTGAGAGTTTCTTGTATTGAAAGGAGATCAAACTAGTCAATCATAAAGGAAATCAACCCTGAATATTAATTGGAAGGACTGATGTTGATGCTGAAGCTCCAACACTTTGCCCACCTGATGCAAAGAGCCAATTTATTGGAAAAGACCCTAATGTTGGGAAAGAGTGAAGGCAAAAAGAGAAGGGGTTGGCTGAGGTTAAGATGGTTAGACAGCATCACTGACTCAATGGGCAGGGGTTTGAGCAAACTCCAGGATATTGTGACCTGCTGCAGTCCATGGGGTCACAAAGAGTTGGACATGACTTAATGACTGAACAACAACAATGAAAACGATGTGATAAATTTACTTAGATAAATTGACCAAAATATTTCTTAACAAATCAGTAACTTAAGGAAGGGGCTTCCCCAGTTGCTCAGTAGTAAAGAATCTGTCTGCTATGCAGGAGATGCAGGAGACGTGGGTTCAATCCCTAGTTTGGGAAGATTCCCTGGAGGAGGGCATGGCAAACCATCCCAGTATCCTTGCCTAGAGAATCCCATAGAGAGAGGAGCCTGGAGGACTATAGTCCATGGGGTCACAAAGAGTCAGACATGACTGAAGTGGCTGAGCACATATACGCACAGAACATAAAGAAAAGAAATCAGGTACCATAACTTCTAGACAATTACTCTTCCCAGATAAAAAAGGTCCACCAAAGGAATCCACAGTAGATGGAGAAGATATGCCTTTGTTGTTATCATGCTAATTTCTCCTTTAATCAGTTTTTGTGATCTCTGTAGCAGCAAAGGTAACCTTTGCAATGACTCAGTCAGTCAGCTAGTCACTCAGTCATGTCCAATTCTTTGAGACCCCATTGACTGCAGCACACCAGGCTTCCCTGTCCATCTCCAACTCCTGGAGCTTACTCAAACTCATGTCTATTGAGTCAGTGATGCCATCCAACCATCTCATCCTCTGTCTTCCCTTTTTCCTCCCACCCTCAATCTTTCCCAGCATCAGGATCTTTTCCAATGAGTCAGTTCTTCTCATCAGGTGGCCAAAGTATTGGAGTTTCAGCTTCAGCATCAGTCCTCCCAATGAATATTAAGGACTGATTTCCTTTAAAGTGGACTGGTTGGATTTCCTTGCTGTCCAAGGGACTCTCAAGAGTTTTCTCCAACACCAGAGTTCAAAAGCATCAATTGTTCAGTGTTCAGTTTTCTTTACAGTCCAACTCTCACATCCATACATGACTACTGGAAAAACCATAGTTTTGACTAGAGGGATCTTTGTTGGCAAAGTAATGTCTCTGCTTTTTAATATGCTGTCTATGTTGGTCATAACTTTTCTTCCAAGGAGCAAGCAACTTTTAATTAATTCAATTAATTAATTAAAAAACACTTAAAAGATGCTTGCAATGACTAGTGTGCTGAAAATGAGAAATATGTCCTAAAAGCATCAGTCTTAGATAAGCACCAGAGCTTTGATAGCATTCTTTGGACTGAAGGTCATATCAAATCGGAAACTATCCAGATTCACTTAGAATAATTACCAAGGTTTTGAACATACCTTAAGAATAAGTATCCTTCAGAAGACCTATCCTATTTTTGCAAATTTGCTGCACAATTGGTCATAGGAATTCAACAGTTTCCTGTATAACACCTACTGGATAATCTGGAAATCTGTTTCAGGTTTCTTGGTTCAGAAATTAAGCATAAGGAGGTTTATTGAATTTTTTTTATCTTTAATAGAGAAACTTCCCTTGCTTTCTAACAACAGAGAAATGGAATGCCTTCAAACTGGGCATTTCAGTAACACAGCTCTTTAATGGACCCTGGTAAATACATTTTCCAATAATCCTATTACTTCTAGATCTTAAAAATCAGTTCTAATGAGATGGATGAAACTGGAGCCCATTATACAGAGCGAAGTAAGTCAGAAAGATAAAGACCATTACAGTATACTAACACATATATATGGAATTTAGAAAGATGGTAACGATAACCCTATATGCAAAACAGAAAAAGAGACTCAGATGTATAGAACAGACTTTTGGACTCTGTGGGAGAAGGTGAGGGTGGGATGTTTCAAGAGAACAGCATCGAAACATGTATATTATCTAGGGTGAAAGAGATCACCAGCCCAGGTTGGATGCATGAGACAAGTGCTCGGGCCTGGTGCACTGGGAAGACCCAGAGGGATAGGGTGGAGAGGGAGGTGGGAGGGGGGACCGGGATGGGGATTACATGTAACTCCATGGCTGATTCATGTCAATGTATGACAAAACCCACTACAATATTGTAAAGTAATTAGCCTCCAACTAATTAAAAAAAAAAAAAAGAAAAGAAAATTTAAAAAAAGAAAAAAAGAACTGCAAAGCAAAGCAAAACTTGACTTGGATCTTTAGCTAAATATCTCCTTTATATGACCATATATAAAATAACTACTTACATACACCAGTCAAATAATTCTCTTAGTAAGTATTTATTGAAGATGTCATCATTTGGCATCTTACAAATATGACATTACACACATTATTATTTGGCTGTGTACATATATGTGAATTCAAGTATTCATTGTGAAATTTTCTCATACCTATTGTGTCTTTATAAGATCCACATTGCATGTGAGAGACAGCAAAGAATTATTTATTTCTGTAATGATGAAGAGAGTTTTAATAATAACTATAGATCACAGAGGAAAAGATTCTAACAGCAAAAGTAATAAATTAGTAGAAAAAATTTTCTGCTACTTTTAAAATTCAATGGTTTATTTTTGCATAGTTTCTTAAGCAATAAGAAAAGAAAAGATCACACTGTCATATTTATACTCCTCAGACCTCCTGTAAGAAATTCCAGTGATATGGGATTATTTAAACAACTAGCTACTAAAAATCACAATAGACTGCTGGCAATGTCTTAGGCACTTTAGATTACCAAGATAAAAGAGAAGCGATGTCCAGCACTTTTGTCCCAGGCTCTGCTAAACAGGAGTGTTAACTTTGATAAACATGAATGACTAAATTCATATCACTGTAGGAAGAGAAATATAAAAAGATACACTCTCCACCTTCTTCTTACTGAAAGACTTCAGAGCTGCTGACTTAACTGACCTTCTTCAATCATGAAGATTCCTGTCCTTCTCTTTGCTGTATTTTTCTTTCTAGCCCCACTGTTACCAGGTAAAATGGAAAAGTTAATTGGTTGAAATCTTCACAGAGGGATAAGTCTTGGTTGATGTCAGCTGGAGATAGAGTGACTTGCCAAAAAAGTGGTTTGTGATAGTCCCAGAAGTAAATCTTACAGAAAGGACTTGTGACCTTACTAAAAAGTAAGGTTCCTGATGAGTTATATTATTGTGGGAGACAGTTTAAGGACTTGATCAATGCTTTGTTCTCAGTCTAGGCTGGCCATTCAGAAAGACACAGTAGATATGATATTAAAGTATAATCATCTTTATCCTTGAAAAACAGTGAGGCACCGTGTGTTGTGCAGTAACTGTATTTTTCACTAACGTACACTGAATGATAGATTTGGCCACAATATCATGATTTAAGTGTAGTAAGTACATCTATTTAATAATATTATCATGAGGATTACAGATATATAAATATGCAAGGTGCCTAATATCGACTATGATTATGTCCTTCTGAAACATTTTGATTACTTTTACATTGTCTTGAAATGTCTGAGAAAGAAAATAACTTCTTGGTGCCTCATTTTGGAGAAAGAAACTCTATTTTTACCTCTATTGTAGAATAAAACACAACGTTTACTCTGCTGGACTTCATGCATTTAGGTTGTGTACCCTTGTTTATAAACCACTGAATCAACCAACTCTTAGGTTGGATTTATAGCCAAAGGATGTGTCTTGATGGAGATCATTGGATGGGTTGTTCTGACGTATTTTGGGCTACTTAAGATAGAAAAGAAGTTTGTTTGTTTGTTTTTTGTATATACAAGAATACTGTGAAAATACATACCCAAGAAAATAATTCCATTCATCTTAAAAATCAAACAAAACAAACAAGCAAACAAATAGAACTATGGAGAGTTTTTACTTAGGAGTGACCTATAACTTCAATAACTTACTAATTGAACTTACACTCCATTCCTTAATAGTATAAATGAAATCAAATTCTCTAACAGTTAAGTCTATCTTTGAGTAAATTTAAAACTGGAAAACCTAAGTATTTTGGAGAAAAGAGTTAAATGACTTGAACTATTTTGCAATTAAAATAAAATTTCTCAGATGAAAATTATGAGAGTTGTTTTTGTATGACATCTTTCTAAACTCAGAATAAACAGAATTAAAACCAGGTTTTGCTTTTTACTAACCCCAAACAAACGTTTCCTTAAAATAGAAAAGACTAGTATACAGAGCAACCACATTTGGGTAATAAAATATTGCTTTCAATCACATGATCATGATTTACATGTGTCCCTCATGTCATTTGTTTTTGAAAAACTTATGTGAAAACCTTCATGACATTTCAGTATCTTCAGAAACCTAAGAGACGTGTTTATGTGCATGGTTTCATCTAAAAGTTGAAAAATTTGCAATTCCTTCTTGTGCATAAATATGAATTTTTATATGATGCAATAGCTGTTATCTAGAGAAAAGATATTTGTTGTTTTTGTTACTAGTGGAAATATGCTAATTTAGAATTGCCACTTAAATAATGCTATTCTTTTCCTCATACTGGTGCTTGACAGCTGTCATCTTCTGTTATTTGTAAATTCCAATTAAGTCGACATACATGCTTCACAACCCTCATGTAGGATGGTATAATTTGAGGATGCATTTTTAAGCTGGTGAGATAATGTCTTTTCCCTTCGGCATCAAAAGCAATAAATAACGTCTCTCTAGATATTACAAATAAAGAGACATCATTAATTTATACAGTGGAACAGTGATATCACATGGCCTAAAATATATGGGGAAAAAAATCAATGTAGTATGGGATTGACTTTTTATAAGGCCTAGTTATCCAAAGTAACAGAGATTTCATGCTAACTTAAGTTTGCTGAAATCTGAGGGCATCAATATATATCAGGTTATCAGTACCATCAACCCCATCACAACTGGATCCTGTAAAGTAAGATTCTAGGGGAAGAGCAAAGACCACTGTTTGTGTACCTTCTTTGTGGATACCTGATATTTCACCATTACATTTAATGTTTTTACTTTGTAAGTCTCCCTCTGTTGGTGACTCATTTAAAAATGCAAGCATTTCTTAAAGAGGTGAAACAGCAAGTCTTCCATCCATGATATGGATGATTCTGTTCATTGGTATATATTGTGATCAAGGAGAATTTGAGTACTTTATAAAGGAGGAGATTCTGAAAAAAAAAAAAAAAGGAAATGCTAAGCGATTTTACACTTCTTCACTGTGTGTCTAAGGCTGCTCATGCATGGAATCACTAATACAGTGATTCCTTCTTCCCTGAAAGCCTCAGATCTGTGTGTGTTCAACAATCCCTCTTAACCCAGTGCATGCTAGGGTTCTATTCATTCTTCCCATCAGAGAGAGTTCTAAAAAAAAAAAGCAAGAGAGCTATTTAAACAACATGAATTGATTTTCCCATTCTTGACTTGTAAAGTCAAAAAATTTAAATATTTAATTTCTTTTGAATTAGAGGAAAAGTAATCAGGTGGGTAGGTTACATTTAGGAATATACATCATCTGCTCCAAAGCTATTCTGGATCTAACAATAACTGTTTATAAATTTTCATGGAGAACTAAGCTGTAGCCAGTAGCAGGCCCAGCCAAGAGTTGCAGAGAGAGCAGACAACAAATCACAAAACTGTCATGGTTGGATAAACAGTGAAATACATGACTTTTTAAATCCCTATTGTAAAGAGAGTGAGGGGAGGAAACAGCATGTGCAGATGTTATAATACATGTCATATCCACAACTGATTTATTCCGTGTTCAGGGCCCTATGTCACAAATAATAACTAAGTGGTTTATGTGCTTTTTTTTTTTCCTTTTAACAGTGAAATGTGCCATGAAAGATACCTATAGTTGTTTTCTCAAGAGAGGCAAGTGTAGGCATGCATGCCACAATTTTGAAATACCATTTGGTTTCTGCACAAAACTAAATGCGAACTGTTGTATGTAGAAGTCTGAAATAAAAATCAACATCCCTGAAAAATTAAACACAGTGAGTATCAGGGTTAGTAATGAATGAGCCTGACTTACTAACCACTCCTGCACAGTATGTGTTGTTTTCTTGGTCACATGGCATCATCTGAGGAACTAATTTCTCTTTTAAGGATATGATATCTTTTAAAAAATATGTTGGGTGGTTCTGTGAAAACCATTTCATTATTTTGGATATAAATTCTCTATTAACTGGCTGGAGAATGTTAAATGACACCAAAATATTTATTATTATTAGGAGCCTTCAACTCAAAGGTATCCAAACTGCTAGGAGCACTTCTCCAAATGAATGAGAAGTTGAAAGAGACCAAAGAAATGGAACAAATAGGATCTCCATCAGATTCTAGATCAAGGGATGTGACTTGATTCACTACAAGCAGGAAGTCCAGGAATCTGTCCACATTTTCAGTTTTATGCATTTGTTCTCTTCAGTTCAGTTTCTCAGTCATTTCCAATGTTTGCAACCCCATGGACTGCAGGACGCCAGGCTTCCCTGTCCATCACCAACTCCTGGAGCTTACTCAAACTCATGTCCATTGAGTCGATGATGCCATCCAACCATCTCATCCTCTGTCATCCCCTTCTCTTCCTGCCTTCAATCTTTCCCAGCATCAGGGTCTTTTCCAATGAGTCAGTTCTTCGCATCAGGTGGCCAAAGTACTGGAGCTTCAGCTTCACCATCAGTCCTTCCAATGAATATTCAGGACTGATTTCCTTTAGGAATGACTGGTTTGATCTCCTTGCAGTCTAAGGATCTCTCAGCAGTCTTCTACAACACCACAGTTCAAAAGCATCAATTCTTTGACACTCAGCTTTATGGTCCAACTCTCACATCCATACATGCTACTGGAAAAACCATAGCTTTGACTAGATGAACTTTTGTCAGCAAAGTAATGTCTCTGCTTTTTAATATGCTATTCTAGGTTTGTCATAGCTTTTCTTCCAAGGAGCAAGCATCTTTTAATTTTGTGGTTGTAGTCACCATCTGCAGTGATTTTGGAGCCCCCAAAAATAAAGTTTCTCACTGTTCCATTTGTTCTCTTACACAAGAAATTTCATTTATTTATTATTTTATTGGAGTATAGTTGCTTTACAATGTTGTGTTATTTTCTACTATACAGCAAAGGGAAGAAGCTATATGTACACATACATCCCCTATTTTTTAGATTTCCTTCCCATTGACATCACCACAGAGTATTTAGTTCCCCCTGCTATGCAGTTGGTTCACATTAGTTATCTATTATATATATATATAGTATCAATTGTGCATCAATAGTGAATTGGGAAACAGATTGACCTATACACACATGGAACTTTAAAAAATGCCACATCTGGAAATAAGACATAGCCACTAATATTCATTGGAAGGACTGATGCTGAAACTGAAGCTCCAATACTTCAGCCATCTGATGTGGAGAGCCGACTCGTAAAAGACCCTGATGCTGGGAAAGATTTTATAAAGTTGAAATCTTGAGTAACTACTACTACAATATATAGCACCTTGTAAAATTCTCAGTTTGTGAGTTGTGTGCAATGACAAATCAGGGAGTTTTTCAAGGTATAGAGCCAGATCTCTTTCCACCAACTATAGGAACAGAGAACAAGATGAGGCTTTGGGTCCCATTCAGAGGTTTTCCCACCTCTCCCTCAGCTGGATTTCCATCTGAAAATACATAAAGAGCTGTATTTTGAATGTTTTTCTTCTTGGCTCCTTTGTACATGAGAAGCAGAAAGGACAAAGCTAGAAAGGGAATTCTGCCAGGCATTAAATACTGCACTTGGCAAGGTGGAGTCCAGCTCTCAGAACTTGAACTTGAAGTACACGCTGACAACTGGAACATCCTTGGTAGTTGATAGATTTAATTTCAGCAGCCCAATCTTAGCTGTTATTAAATCTGGGAATCATTTTTTTTGTCAAATAATAAATATAATGAGCCTCTCAGCTAGTGAAAGAAACTGAGAAAGCATATTTCACTGGTTGCCTGTTGCCCACAGGATAACAAAGCATATAGTAAATCCATACTGTACCCCAGCATGGGGCAGCGAGCATACCTAGAACACATGGGTACCAGGAGAACTGATGGGAGATGATTGAAATAATCCAGGTGGACGGAGATAAAGGCTGACCTAAAGGGATAGTAGGCCCAATCTGAGACATTCTAGCAAATGTTTTATTCCCAAATTATGCTCCACATATTGAATAAAACAAATATTAGTGAGACTTCAAGATAAACTCACGTTATATTATTATATTGGGTTTATACTTTTCAGTGTTAACCCAGAAGTATATCAAAAGAGACAGAAAAGAGCTTATTGTGCTGCTGTTTCTTATCAATAATTTTCTTGTTTACAAGAGTACAGCCACAACCTATTCGCTTTTATTTTGACATGGATTTGGCCAATTTGAGAACTGACAGGACAGGAGACTGCCTGCAATGTAGGAGACCCAGTTTCAATCCCTGAGTTGAGAAGATTCCCTAGAGAAGGAAGTAGCAACTCACTCCAGTATTCTTAGCATCTTAACAAATAAAATTAAACCCATGAGTGAAAGTCACTGTGCCTATGCATATCTGTTGATGGCTAAAGGTTTGATTGAGGAGCAATGATATTATTTTGTTTCCAAAATGGTGAAAAATAGGGATTAAGAAGCTAGAGCTTTCTCTAGGAGTAAGAAACTTGAGTCAGGAAGGTGGGGGAAGAGTATTACCATAGTGATTAAGTATTCATGTTCTGAAGTTAGATTCGTTGAGTTTGATTCTCAGCTTAACTATGTTCTGAGCCATGTGATTTGAACAAAAATCATTAGCAGCTCTCTAAGCCTGAATGTCTTTATTTATAAGATAAAAATAATAATACACTCACTGAATAACTTTGACATAGTTAAATGAGCTAATCCAAGTAAAACTCACGCAGTACCTGGTATATAGTGAAAGTGAAAGTCACTTGGTCGTGTCGGACTCCTTGTGACCCCATGGACTATACAGTTTATGGAATTCTCCAAGCCAGAATACTGGAGTGGGTAGCCTTTCCCTTCTCCAGGGGATCTTCCCAACCCAGGGATCAAACCCAGTTCTCCCAACTTGCAGGCAGACTCTACCAGCTGAGCCACAGGGAAGCCCAAGAATACTGGAGTGGGTAGCTTAACCATTCTCCAGAGGATCTTCCAGACCCAGGAATTGAGACTATTCTTTACCAACTGAGCTATCAGGAAAGCAGGCTAGGATAGCTTAGTGATAAAGCTCAAAGACAAGCAACTTAAAGCTTTACTGTAAGGTACTACGTATTAATATTTCCCAAGTCATAAGTCTCTTTGAGAATAAAGAATAGCAAGCCAAAAAGATGAACAATTATAGTAGCTATGTTTATGTTTTAAAATCTCCAAATTCAAACTCCTTTTTTTGCTAAGCTAAAGATTTAGGCACATATAATAATAATATTGAAAAATGTAAGAGTTTCTAATCATTTTATTCTCAAGCATAATTAAATTCTGTGGGCCTCTTGTATCACAATAGAACAAATAGAAGAACAAACACTGTCGATGTCCCCAGGAACACACCTTCAGTCTACTTCTTAAGAATAAAATCCTGAACAAACATATTTATAAGCACTATTTCAATCACTTGAAATGAATCCCAACTCTGTGTCTCTAATCTTCACTTATTTCTTTGGCTCAAGATGCAACTCTGCCTCTTGGATATCTTGTGAAAATTCTGTAGACTTCTTAAATTCAACACTATCAGCATCATTCTATCTTCTCTTGTTCTCATCCTCATATCCTGACTTTCTCTATATTGTTTGTGATCATTGTTAGCGTCACCTAAAGGACAAGACTACTTCCTTATCATCTCCATTTATAAGTACATTTATTCCAGTCTGTAAATACTACTTGAAACTGCTCTTTCAATTTTTGCTGATACAGACTTGCTCCAGCCCTATAGTCAGCCCTGCTTCCCCATGTCCACGGCACATACCTAATGTGATGTTTGTCTTCCTCCCTACTTAAGTTACAGAAAAAGTCAATAGGAATCAAATCAATCACCATTAGAATTCTTTGGCAGTCCAGTGGCAGCACTTCCAATGCTGGTGCCTAGGTTTGATCCCTGATTGCGGAACCAAGACCCCACAGGCAGTGTGGTGAGGCCAACAATAAATATATGGATAAATTTTTTAAACTAAAAAATAAATCAGTCAGTGTGGGTTAGGCACTTGGGGTGTAACACTGAATTGAAAAGAATATAGTTTCCATGAAAGCTGTAACTATTAAATATATATTTATTAGTATGACATGTGTTAAAGTAGAAGAAATCTAGGTTCTCAATTTACCTTGAAGTAAGGGGCTCTGGAAAGACTGTATTGAGAAAACAGCATTTAAACTAAGATGTGAGGAACATGAAAAAGATAAGCTGGATGTTACCATACAGTTGAGAAAGGGCACATGTTGAGAAGAATAATTACAGATGTTTCTGGTAAATGCAGTACGTAAATGTATAAAGTCCTAAAGTAGAAAAGGGCAAAGACACAGTACAAGTAACAAAAATTCAATGTGGTTGCTGAATAAAGGACGAGTAGTATAGAAAAATATATGAAGGTGAACACTTGGGTGAGCCAAGGTCGTGAAAGGTCAAGGGAAGTATATGAGAGCTTAAGGGGGAAAAGTACAGAAAGCTAAACAAAAAAGATCTTTGTGACTGCTGTTTGCTGTGTAGGGAATGGAAGATCAAGAGTGTGTACATCTAGATAAATTCAGAGGCTGTTGGAGAATTACAAATGAGAGATAGTGTTAGAGTGCATTCTGACCATGGCGATGAATGGAACTAGATAAAGTTAGCTGCACATGGGTGGCAGAATCTTAATTAAGACAAAATAGTCCAGAAGTCCTCACAGGTAGTGCAATAATTCCTCCTCTCCAACAGGTAAAAGACGAGCTTGCTCACACTAGGTTTCCAGTGTTCCTCAGTG